TACATATGTAGTATGTAGTATGTAGCTACTACATATGTAGTATGTAGTAGATACTACATATGTAGTATGTAGTAGATACATATGTAGTAGCTACATATACTACGGGCCCCGCACTTTCAAGGGCCCCGCGCTAAATGTTTTCAAGCTATCTATTCGAGTTGAGTGATTCTGAACTTGCTCTATTATTGTAGTACTATACTGCCTGCAACGTTTAATAACGACTGGGTGTTGAAGGTTATCGATTTGTCATATTATCTGCCTGTATAGCAAATGAAAAACTACAATTAGTTCACTATGCAAGTTAAAATTTTAACATATGCTACAGGCCCCGCACTAGCTTAATCCAGCACTGTAAAAGGTTGATAATCAGGGTGTTTCGGCATCATCATCATCCACTCACTACACTTCAAACCACCACCACAACACACTCACCCAATCATCACACTTCAAACCACTACCACAACACACTCACCTACTCACCACACTGCAGGTCACAATAACACTTTTCATTCCGCTTCATCCCTCACGCTGCTCGACTTATTTTTACTTCCCCGCGATCGTCTCATTTCCCCGTGCTTTGAGAAAAAAAAAAAACCTCTTGGTTAAATCCAAGAAACGTGTTCACCCTTATATCGAAACTTTTATGGTGCTGTCTGTTGCTGGCCGCTTGGAAACTTTGGGCCCGGGGTGAGCAACTAGAATTGTGTGTTGTGGTTTTTTCAATAAAAATGTTTCTCACACACCAACTCTGCGGATAAATAAACAATGGCTCGGTACAATGCAGCAATACCCTCCGTCAATGCAATACACGATATGCACAAACACGAAACCGTCCAGATCATCATCATTCTCAGCCATTGTCCACTGCTGGTTTAAGGGTCCCCTTGCACCATCGCCAGTGGTGGAGTGGCATAATAATTATCCGTGTACATTATCAAACAAATTAAGCGGCGATACTGCGTTGGCGGCAGAGCAAAAACAGGAAGCTTATTGAGCAAATTTCAACTCTTATCAGGCCCCACGGTGTAAAGTGCAGTCTCCAACTCTTATTTACCCACTCTCTCTCTCTCTGACCTATTTATGTGGTATGGAGAAGGATCATTGCCTGCAACGTCGCCTATTATATCCTTTTTTTACTTTTTAAGATCATTGCTATTGATGAATGCGTTACGTTTTTGTTGACTAATCGCCATCTGTTTCCATCCGCGTGGTTTACTCCTTGTGCTCCGGTTTCCCCCTCCTCCCTCCCACGTGTATAATATTAATAACAACACAACTCATTATTAATTTGCTGAAAACATCTTTTACGAAAAAATATAAAAACCCAATGTAGCAGCAGGAGATGTTAACCCAATGTAGCAGCAGGAGATGTTAACTCCCTCGCCTGGTATGCAGGAGGTCGTGGGTTCGAACCCCACCCTGGTGCCTGCTGTATATTTGAAGTTTTCGTGTCTCCCTCTCCCCGTGGTCGCGTGAGATTTTCTCCGGATCCTACGGTTTCCCCTACACATTTAAAATCAGACTGCGTTTAGGGCATATGGTTGCTCTCAATTTCCACACGATGATAAGCCACTTCGTTGAGCTATCATCTGAAAAAGAGCTATAGAGGTATACCTGGTCAAATATAAAATAAATACGTTTGACACTTTAACCCGCGGGCAAAGCGATTCCGATGCTACGAGCAGCTGCCACCAGAGGGCCCTGCAGGCGCGGCGAGGGGACAGCGAGCGACACGGAGAGAGAGACGACGGGCACCCATGAACAGCGTGTCCCCTGGGCTGCTGCTGATGTTGCTTGCGGTGTTGTGGTTACAGCGAGCCTTGGGACTGCTGTATGTGTTGTTGTAATAACTTTAATGGAGATATGCATTGTTGCTCTGGAGACATTATTTGGAGAAATGGTCGTAATTAATAATAGAAAAAGGAGCTTATTTGGCTCAGTTTGACCTTACCTGAAATAAACTGACTATTTTATCGATACAGACAAAGATCCCCCTGATAGGCTTTAACAGACGGTTTGGGATAAGTGCTGTTAGCTAGAATCGATGCACTCCACCACAGAGTCAATGGGAGTTGCTCTTTCTCGTCTGATGTTCTCGTGTCTAGAACCAGAATCAGAATATTTATACTGGAAGAATCCGATGCGCTATAAAGCTCTTTTTGCACCGAACGTACTCATAACCGTCCACGTTTTGAAGGCTTTTTGCTCAAGAGCTGCCTACCTAACCTCCAAACAATGAAGAAAAAAATTGCATTATGCAACGTTTCGGGCAATGACTCTTCATAGCACAGAGAGATAAAAGAATAGAGAGATGAAACATTAGGTGGAGACTGCACACTACGCACCGTGGGTGCCTGATAAGAATGACATTTTAAGAAAATATATCCTGATGAACAGTTTTAAAATTGGCCAGTTATAAACAGTTACCTATTATAAGACGTTACGTGTAAAAAAACAATCTAGATTTGAAGCTTTCGTGACTACAGCAATGCATGCGCTTTGGTTCTTTCGGTAAAGTCACGTAGGTAGAAATAAAGTAAAACTTATATAATATAATAAAAAATAAAACTTATACTAAAATAAAACTTATAGTTTATAGTTTTATTTTAGTATAAGTTTTATAGTTTATAGTTTTATTTTAGTATAAGTTATAGTTTTATTTTATTTCTAAAACTTATAGTAGGTAGAAATAAAAGAAAACTATAAGTTTAAAACTATGTTTTATTTTAAATATTTTGTTTAATTAATTTAAATAAAACTATAATGTATTTTATTTCTACCTATGTTAAGTTTTCTACCTACGTGACTTTACCGAAATAACCGAAGAGCGTGGAAAGCTTCAAATCTAAATAGTGTTTTTTTACACGTAACGTCTTCTATTTTACCGAAAGAACCAAAGAGTATGAAGCAATATAGAGTATATACGTCATGGATAAACTGCTCAAAACTTCACCCAGTCTTAAAGCTTTAAATGTATAGGGTCAAATGGTAATTGGTGTTGCTTTGTTGTTGCTGGTGTCTGTGCTCCTGCACCACCAATACCAAGGCAGCTCAATTACTATGTACATATGTGCAACGTGCGCACGGAGTGAATATGCATATGCATAGTAGTCTATGCACATGCCGGGAGTGGGTGGTGGAGCAACATCTGACGCCCTGCGGTCTGAACCCGGCCCACTGAAGTTGGATTCCCGACCACGGCTACCATCAGTGGCGAGTGATATGGAAACCGGCCCTTTGTTACACCTTCCCGCCCGCCCCTTTCGACGAACGTAGTGAAGTATGGTCAAACAATACCCACGTGCCACCTGCGCTGCGCTCTAAACATTTTCGTTATCAATATTGCATCTTATCGACAGTCGTTATGAAGTTGCCCGGTAATGTCGCGTTGCGTGCGAGAAGAGTAGGGGCGGGGGGGAGTGGGGGAACTTGCAATGCGTTCACCGGTGTTGCCATCACAAGCCCCCCCCCCCCAAAAAAAAAAACACGGCTCTCGTTCGCTAATTCGCTCGCCTTCACCTCCCTTAGATCGCTCGCTCGCGCGTGCACGCGCGTGCACGTGCGTACTCGCCCACGTGCGCGCGCTCGCCGTGCTGGAGGAGACACGCGGGGCGAGACGCGTTTCGCCCACGCACGCGCGTTCACGTGGAATAAGGAGGCCGCGTGCAATCACTCAGGCACAATGATCACCCATCAACCAATCCCTCCTCTCCTCCTGCCGCCACCGCGGCGTGTAAACACCTTCGACGTTGCCTGGCAATTGCTGTTTGCGAGCACCTATTAAAAATTCGGAACTGCGCGCAGAAGACGCTTATGGTCAGAACTACGCCCGGCCGTTTTTGTCTCCCCGGTGCTGACGTTTGCACTTCGTGTCTGACAACTCGTTTAAACGCCCGCCACTGTAAGCAGTGGTTCTGGACCCGAACTTATATGTGCGAAAACCGCTCAATCACGCACGTGCAACTCACACCCCACAAAGACCCCGCCCCCTCCACCCCGTATAGCCTGTAACAGACCATCAGAGTAAGTGCTGTTCGCAAGCACCTACGAAGGCCGACACGGCGAACGACGCGATGGGGTGGCCAGCACCACGCCCCGCTCGCCTTTGTCTCCCCATTGGGGCGATGCGTTTCACACCACACCAGGCGCGGTAGTCATTTGAGGCCGAGTCGACCCAGTAGGAGGCCGCGGGCAGGTTCAAATAATCGTCACTGGTGTAGATGGTCGGGGGATTTGAACTCGGGTGGCCGCGTTCGTAGCGCGTCGGGCTGACCGCTGCACGAACCGCTAACCCCTTAGTGCAGCGCGCACACACGGACCCGCATGGAGCCCCCCCCCCCCCCTCCATCACCACCACCTCCTCCTCCTCTGGAGTTGCGCGGCAGTCAACTACCGCTGTTGGTGAGAGTTCAAACGGCGCAACACTCACGCAGCAAAAGCGCGCAAGTGTCGTCTTTCGTCTCTCGAATGCCCTATGAATCACACGCGACCACGACAGACACACGCACACACGGCAGGCCCAATTGATGATGAACACCACCTCTCCCCGTGCCACTACCCCCCCCCCCCAGCCGCCGCAACTTTTGTGTTTGTCCGTCGTAACCTCGCGGCGCGTGCACGGTAATGGTGAAGCACAAGGCGCGCGTGAATGTGAATGCACGCGGCGCCTTGTAGCGGAGCGCGCAAAGCGCAGCGCCGCATTTGCATGCGAATATCGACAGAGACAAAGAGAGCGGAGTGGGGGGGGGGGGTCGGAGGAGCGGGGGTGGGGCTAGATGGAGGAGGGAGGGGGATAGTGGGAGGGTTCGCTCGGCAAGGGGCGTTGCCCTCAGCGGCATCGCCCAATGGGAAGCGGCTTTGTGTGGGCGGTGGGCGGGGGCGGTAGGCGGGATTTAGCGGCAGAGGGGCGGAGCTGTGGGCGGAGTCAGCAATTGGAAGGCGGGGCCAGCGGTAGGTGAGAGGGGGGTGGGTGTCACCCTCCTCCGTCCTCTTAAAAGAACGCTGAGCCACCGTCTGGGCTCACCACTCGCTCCTTCCTCCCTTGCGAGCTCCTCCTTGCTTCCATCCCTTGCCTGCCGTGCCACCCCCACCTCCTCCACCTCCTCCACCCTTGCCCTCCATCGTCCGCACAAAGCTAATCGAATGAACGGCTCCGCTCCCACTCACTTTAGCAGCGGCGGCGGCAGCAGCAGCAACGGCGGCGGCGTCGTCCGCAAGCGACGGATGCGATTCGCTTTCCCGCGGGCCAAGCGCAACAGAGTGGGGGGCTTGCCCGAGCCCAGCATGACTCTGGGACGCGAGCGGGCGGCCAACGACGAAAACATCTGCCCGATCGAGAGGTGAGATGAGACGGGGGCGCTGGTGGAGGTGATGGTGGGGGGGTGAATGAGGAAGCATGCGAGTTTGTTGATTCGGAGGACAAAGCTGGCCAATGCACTGGTGCACAGGGAGATGGGGATGGTGGTTATCTATCGGTGTGGGGAGCGGTGGTGTAGTGGTTAGCGCGCTGCGCTACGAACCTGGCGACCCGGGTTCGATTCCCGCTCACGGCCAACACCCAGTGACGATTATCTGAACCGGTTCTGGGCCTCCCCTAGGTCGACTCGGTCTCAAATGAATACCTGGTGCGGTGTGTAAACATCGCCATTGGGGAGGCAAAGGCGGCCGAGCGTGGTGCTGGCCACCCACCCCCTCGTGCACCAACAGTCTGTTAATGCTTTACGGGGGATCTTTGTGTAACTCGAGCGGACGATTGCGTAAGGGCGAGCGAGGAAGTAAGATTCACGTGAGGATGAGATGGGGGGGGGGGGTGTGCGGGACGATGTATCTGTACGCGTGCGTATTGGAGCTGCTGTTTTCGTGGGATCTCGAGGAGCGCGGTAGAGATTGGAGTGGGTTGAGTGGGGGGGCTGCTCGATGCTGCTATCGCAGTCCCGGTAGTCCGCACGTGGCGTGGGGAATAGCGACCCAGGGTCACTCGCTAGCGACGGCGCCGCGTTTTAGCGGAGACTCTCGCACTCCCCCTACTCGGGGTGGTTTGCAGCATCGCTCTCTGCAAGTTTACCCCTCCCGCTCCGTGGGACACGTGTTTTGTTCGCGATTGAACGCAGCTCGCTGCGTTTCGCTTTGCTCGCTGCAAACGTGCACCAAATTTGTGTGTTTTTTGTCGACGTTTTTTAAAACGATGTTTGTTTTTTTTTTAAACTTCAACAACAACCGTTTCTCGTGTGCAACGTATACTGGGACTTTTTTTGGCACCGTGCATCATCATCACCTCCCCCCCCTCCGCATTGCGTGCTGTTCGTCGTGCAGCATGGAGCACGTGGGAGCTGTTGAACAGGCGCTGGAGGATCTCGTGCTGGGCTCGAACAGGCACGGACATCTCACCGTCGGCGTTTACGAAGCGGCCAAACTTCTGAACATGTAAGCTCGATCGATCGGCATCCGTTCGGTCGGCACACACATACATACACACTTCCTGCATCATTTAAATGTTGCGTGGATTGCTCTCCCAGACACCCCCACCGGTCGTTGTGCTGAGCCAAAACTCACTTTTTTGGCGGGAGGGGGAGAGGCTCCACACCTCCGCACCTCCAGATTAGCACGGTTGGCTACGTACGGTGCGCAATAAGTTCAACATACTGTGTATGTGTTTAGGTCCGAGTCGATCTAGGAGGGGGGGAGGTGGGACACACGCATCGCGAGATTTGTCTGAAACTTTGAAAACAGTTCAATGCACGGGCAGACGCGTGGATGCACACTACACTCTGCACGCATGCATCCAGCGACGGCGATATCCATCTGCGCGCGCCGCTCATACCAACGCGTCTAACACCGTGACCCTTCTCCCGCCGTTTGGCTCCACAGTGACCCAGACAGCGTGGTGCTCTGCCTCTTGGCCGCCGACGCCGACGAGGAGTCCGACCTGGCCCTGCAGATCCACTTCACGCTCATCCAGGCCTTTTGCGGCGACAACGACATCGACGTTATCCGAGTGCGCGGCGTGGAGCGCCTCGCTCAGCTGCTCGCGATGAGCGGCGGTGTTGGTGCGGGACGCGCGAGCGCTCCCAGCGGCGTGGTGGGAGCCGGAGGCTGCGAGAGCGACGATGGGTCTTGCTGCAACACCACCAACTCCTACTTCTCCTACACGGCTGACGAGCCCCGAGACCTGCACTGCCTGCTGCTCACGGCGCCCCTGCCGGCGGGGCCGCTGCGCACCGTGGCGGCGTTCTGCGCGGACAGCCGCCACAACAATCAGTGGGTGCCGTGTCTGAACCTCGCCGAGCGATGAGGCGGCCAGGTGCAGCCACGGTGGGCAACGGCTGCAGAAGCAGCGGTGGCTACGGCAGCAGCTATGTCGATATAGCAGCAGCGAGCAGAGATGAGCAGTTGCAACGTTCGCAAATGGCCATTTTTGGCCCCGCGATTATATTGATGAGTTAAGATGAAGATCATAAGGGATCAGAATATTGATGATGGAGATTAATGGTGATGATTTAAAAAGAGGGAGCTCGATTATTAAAATGTTAACAATGATCGAGAGGAGGATGATGAGCGCGGAAGATCGCCGATCGTGGTGATGATGATGATGATGATATCGCCTTCAGTTTTTTGTTGTTGCTGCGGCAAGGAGGAGAGACGCTCTCGACACCCCGATGTGGAAGTTGGAGGGGATGTTTCGATCGAGCACAGAGCATTGTAGCGACGGCGAACCTCAACAACAAGAGCGGAATCCAGTGCCCCAAGTGGGATGGGTGGAACTCGATTTAAGAAGATAACAAGTTACACTTTTTTTTTTTTGGTACGGACTTGCATTGTTGCAGTACACTCATTCAAGAAGACACGAGGTGGACATCTTGTGGACTTTCTCATGAATGATATAAAATGTGCGTGGGGAGAGAAAATTCAACTCTCACACGATGCACATTCACACGCAATGACACAAGCGTAGCAGCATCATGAACATAGCAACTCTTAAGTGGGTTTTATGGTGCACCACGCAAACATAAACCGCATCGACAGTATTGCCCAACAAGCCTGGGCAGGGCAGAGGAAAGAGTGGGGCTGTGGTAGGAGGGAGGGGGAGTGGAGGCTCTCCGTGGGTCTGTGCGTCACGGTGACGCTTTGGCGGCTTTGGGGAAACTCGTTCTCGACTCCGAACCGTTTCCGCCCGCACGGTTAACGGCGGGCACGGGGGTGGGAATCTGTGGGGGGGGGGGGGGGTGGAGCCGCCACTTTCGATGGCAGTTATTGATGCATTATTAGTAACGCCGAGATGATGATGCTTTGCGATGATGATATTCCGAATGCTTTTTTTGTTTGTTACTAAATGTGGTCGTGGATCTGGACTGCGTGTGCGTTCAAACACGTTTGGTAATCTTAACAAACAGTCGAATGGTGGTAGCGTTGTGTGCATTGTGTATATATATTTTTTTATTGGCCTAATTTAAACAATGACAAGGTTAAACAACGAACATGTCTGCAATATCCCTACTACTGTAGTCTTACATGTTTTGTTGGCTGCAACAGAGGCGACTTGAAACGTTAACTAGCCCACGCGAGCAATGCGTGCAGACTCTCAGTGTTTCCCGCATTGTGTGGATCTTGTGATTTCATATTAAGGACACGTGTGTGTGTGTGTGTTTGTGACGGGGGGGGGGGGGGGTCAGGATTTTTCACCCCCTTTTGCTGTGGTTAAGTCTCGACAATCTCCGCACGAGTCCTGCCGGTTAATGTTTTTGCGAATAGGGACTCAAAAGTTATGGTCACGAACCACGAGTTGGTTCTTACCTGGGGTATTTTTTTGAAGAGAAACGAAATTAATTTTGCAATGAATGTAGCGGCCTCAAGTGGCTGCGAGTCCCCGACACGCGATTTAGATTCATCCCACCCACGTGTGTTGCCATTGCACCAAGGGATGATGATGATCCTCGATTACGCGTTTTACTACCCAGGATATCTACAGACTGCACGTCCAATGCAAAGCTGCCGGTGTGTACCTGTTGGAGTTGCAGCCGCGCCAGGCTAGGTTCACACACAACGATGTCTGAATCGCCATAACGTGGACGTTTTCATGACTTGTGTCATTATTTATAACTTTGTTTTGGTTTTGTGTTCACCCATTTGGCATAATTTTTGTATTTATATATAAACTCGTATTATGGTTATAGTTGAGTTTTGCCTTTCCGTGCAATGTTATCTTAAGTTCGTGTATTTATGCAATTTATTTAACACAAACCGATGTTTGCACGTGCATTTCAGAATCCCTTTTACAATCCTCAAAATTGTACATAAATAAACTTTACATAAAAAAATGAACTTTTCACGAGACTGTCGGTGTTTTGTTTTACGTGCGGCATGGGAGGGGGAAACGAGCAGGTGGCGACCTCTGGATTGCATTGGCCACGTGTTCTGAAGGTCCATTGCCTGAAACGTCGCCTATTATAGATTGACTTATGAACGCGTTGGGTTATTTAATTTACTAATCGTGCTTGTGAACCAATGCCAACGTAGCAGCAGCAGCATCCCCAAATAACTCGCTGGAGTGATAATTAAGGTAAAGGTGACGCCCTGCAATTTGCTTGTTAACGCCATCGCTGGCAGAAAGGTCACGACGATGGAGATCTCTAGGCAGCCCCATCCTTTATAGACATCTTGAAAGTGGTGGGGGCATGCCCACACTACCTCACCACTCACTGGAACCTGAACGACTCGATTGTGCACCCAACGACACCGCTGGATGAACCTGCCCGAGTTATATCCCACATTAGGGTCGCCTCGTGTTGTCTGCAGATTGTCAAACTGCTGCTTGATGATGATGGCCCTGCACAAAAACGTGTGTCGGCCATGGCCGTACTTTACCACCACGGTGAAATATGGTCATGGCAGAGTGCAGGATTATGTCATGATTGATTTACGAATTTCTTTTGTAGCAAATACACCGCTCAGATGGACTATTTCGACCGCTATAGCGGGTGGGGGATTGTACAATCCCATGCCAGTTCACGGTGACTCGTGAACACATTTAACGGTCATATATAATGCATGCAACATACATAATATATTCACGCGCACATATATAGTGGCCATATATTTGTCTTTCCACGTACATATTTGCAATATTATATACACTCGCGAAGCTCGGAATAGTCGGAATGATTTCCAACACGCATGTTCACGTACAAAAAACTAAAACAATTTTAGATGGGTCACTGTGATATATTGGCCATGTAATGAGAAAACGATAGGCTAACCATGTCTTGACTTGGGAGAATTGTAGGTACAGTGCAAAAAGGGAGGAGATAGCGAATTAAGCGACATAAGCAACGCTTGCACAACTGGATGCAACTGAGGGAGTATATAATACAGAGTTCTTGAGTGAAAATAATGGACAGCTGAACGGACGGGAGACCACGAAACATCCTAGTAAATAGAGAGCTCTGCAATATACGCACACTATTAAATAACGTAGTAACAATGAGAATCCTAACAATGATGATGTTATTGGAAACATGATGATAATGATGATCACATTGTGGCTATTATCCTGCCAATGTTGATGAGAATGATTGTCGTGACGGCGACGACAATGATGATGATGGTGGTAAAGGGTCGCTGAGAATCGTTGGCTTGAGTTGTGTGTATAGTGTAAGTCACGGTGACGACGAGGACGAAGATCACAACTATGGCAAGGGACCGTGCCTCGTGCCAGAATCACGCCCAGCGCGCTCCGGTCGTGATGGAGTTCGAGTGCAGCGGAGAACTGGCGTCGCCCGGCGCTTGCGGAAAACAGAGGGCGGAACGCGTGGCCTGGAATCTGGAACGCGTGGCCTGGAGTATGGAACGCGTGGCCTGGAGTGTGGAACGCGTGCAGCTTTACGCGCTACGCGGACAATTCATACCTGGCGGCAGAGGCGTACCGGGCCTAGGGAACGGCGTATCCGGGGTGCGATTTGCACCGAGCCCCGCGCCCCCTGATAGACACAGATCTACCCCTCGACATCCAAACCGCGACTGTTTCGACACGTGGTGTTAACGGGCACCTGTTAAGGGAGGCAGCGGGGCGAGGAGGGTGGCCGCCTTTGTCTCCCCTAGTGGCCATGTTTACTACACATCACACCAGGTTACTCATTTGAGACTGAGTCGACCTGAGGGAGGCGCAGGACCGGTTCAGATCATCGTCACCCGGTGTTGACCGCGAGCGGGAATCGAACCCGAGTGGTTGGGTTCATAACGCAGTTGGCTAACCGCTGCACACGGCACCAGATACCCGCAACGTGCATCCACGTGCCCTTTTTCCCCCTTTAAGCGTAAATCCACTAATAACTGTGTAACAAGGACAGTGGTATTTAGAAATTTACCTATTTTCAATGAGAACGTGGTGTGCATTTGTGTCTTTCGTTCACATAAAGTCCTGGTCACAAAAGCAAAGTTTGTGAGGAATAATAGCCATTTTCGATACTTTTGAGGCATAAGAAATAAGAAAATAACGCTTAGTACCCAGGAACAAAAACGGTGTTACATAAAATAATTATCATCATCCATGATCTATCTATTGCTGGATGAGGATCAAAATGACGCCTCTGATTGGTCCATCGCCCTCCCCACGCTCGCTTCTTTTGCGCACTCGTTCAGCCCTTGCTCAATTCCCTCGACTCGGCCTGCAAGTGAGTGGCGCCTCTTGCGTCACCGCCACCACCACCACCACCACGACGGCAAGTGGGGGTCAGGGGGGGTGAAGCACTGCCCCGTTCAGCACGACACTGCCCAGACTCGCCTCACCTCGGCCCCAACGCAGCGCGCGGAACCCACCAGCCCAGCAGGACCCCTTGCCCGGTTAGACTCCCCGCTCCACTGTGTGGCGCATGCTGTTGTGCGATGAATGACCGGCAGCAGTTGATAGCAGCAGCTGTGAGCGAGTGACAAAGAGAAAGGTGCCCCGTGTATCCTCGGAAGACTGTTGGGGCAAGTGCCGTGAGCGAGCAGCACCTATGAAGGCCGGCACGGCACACGTGGGGGTGGGTGGCCAAAACCGCGCCCGGCTGCCTTCGTCGTGGGCAGCAGAAGACGGTGCAAGCAAAAATACATCGTTGTATTATTGTACTGTACTTCTACGTTCCCGCATCTATCTTCCCCGTCTACACCAACTTGCGCTGACCAGCGTGGTGACGTACGGTCAAACAAACTTCCCACTCCTGGCACGGCTCAGAGGAGGGGGGGGCTTCATCCAGCAGTGGATACATAATGGATAATGATTATATATTTTTTTTTCTGTCGTCTCCCAGTTGCTATAGGCTGTGAGTTACCAGATCTGCAGAGCCTTAAAATCGCTGATCGTGCACAGCCGAACGTGGTTTCAACACCGCCACTGCCCGGGATTATTTTCGCAACGTGGTATTGGCACTGCGCGAGTGAAGATGTGATGGGACAGGACATCGAGGCTTAGCCAGAACCGGTTCCCTGGCTATCGATCCTGACCGGTATAGAGACCGCACTGGTTCACTGGCCAGAGACTCTGACCGGTATAGAGACCGCACTGGTTCACTGGCCAGAGACTCTGACCGGTATAGAGACCGCACTGGTTCACTGGCCAGAGACTCTGACCGGTATAGAGACCGCACTGGTTCACTGGCCAGAGACTCTGACCGGTATAGAGACCGCACTGGTTCACTGGCCAGAGACTCTGACCGGTATAGAGACCGCACTGGTTCACTGGCCAGAGACTCTGACCGGTATAGAGACCGCACTGGTTCACTGGCCAGAGACTCTGACCGGTATAGAGACCGCAGTGGTTCACTGGCCAGAGACTCTGACCGGTATAGAGACCGCAGTGGTTCACTGGCCAGAGACTCTGACCGGTATAGAGACCGCACTGGTTCACTGGCCAGTACAGAGCAGAGAAACAATCTGATGTGACAACTGCACTGGCTCACTTGCCGGGAAGACTCGGCCGGTACAAGAAGCTGGCTGTGTTCGATGTTTCACCCAGACAGAGGCAGAGCCCTGGGTTCGATGGTGATGGAACGTCTCAAGTGCTCAAGGACGATAACGGGCCAGTATCACGCGCGCAGATAGCACGACAACAAAATCCATCGGACACCGAGCGATAATTCAATTCTGTAAATGACGAAATAACTCAAAGCAACAGAAACATTAACGCTGGCGAGCAAAACAAATATAGTTGACAACAACAAGGGGTGTTGTGGTGGTGCATTACATGACAAAAGCAAGACGCTGGCACCAACTGTGTGTTTGTCAATCAACATTGGCCAGTTCTTAGCGAATGTACCGGCTCGCGTAACAAGGGGGGAAGTACGTGTTTTTAAAAAAATATATATTTGGCGTTTAGCACAAACACAATAGACAAAAATACAAATATCGCGATTGGCTGTGGCGATCTTAGATTAGTCACGGGCTTCTCCCGGCCGTCATTGCAACGCACGGGGCAGCGAGGAATGCCCTTTGTAAAGGTCACGCGAGCAAGAATCGCCGCTTTTACTTTGGCATTGAAGAGGTCAGATTGACTCAGAGAGCGCGCGCGGAACAATAGCTGACGACGCATTTACACGCGTTGGGCCATTTATATATTGAATGGTTATGTTTGTGTGTGTCTGTATGTGTGTCTGTCTGTGTGTCTGTCTGTGTGGAATTCACTTCAAGAGGTAACACCTCTGAGCTGGATTGCGACCTATTAAGGGGGGGGGCAGGGGGGGGGCGAGGGGGGGGGGCGAGGGAGGGGGTAGGGGTTGAGGGGGGGGGGCGTCGAGGGAGGGGTTCGAGGGGGGGTCGAGGGGGGGGAACTGGGGGCAGGGGAGGGGATCGGGATGACTGCCACACGGCCACTCTCCTCCTATCTTACAGTTACATGCTAATCTCTCACATTAACATCATGCTAATCTCTCACATTAACATCATGCTAATCTCTCACATTAACATCATGCTAATCTCTCACATTAACATCATGCTAATCTCTCACATTAACATCATGCTAATCCCTCACATTAACATCATGCTAATCTCTCACATTAACATCATGCTAATCTCTCACATTAACATCATGTTAAGCTCTCACATTAACATCATGCTAATCTCTCACATTAACATCATGCTAATCTCTCACATTAACATCACTAGCCCCGGCCACTTCTTTATGGCCCTTACGCTACACCCATTTCAAACCTTTTAAAACACAGCAGACCATCGCTTTCCCATCGGATGACGGACGCTTGTGTTGCGCCCGAAACGTCGCTGATTTATTTTATTTCCTACCTACGTGACTTTACCAAAAGAACCAAAGAGTATGGATTCCTGCAGTCACG